GTAGTAATAGTAGTAATAGTAATAGTAGAAGTAGCAATGATAAGAGCTGAGGTGGATGGATGGATGGATGGATGGATGGATGGATGGATGGATGCTAGGCAAGTGCTCCCTTTTTGGTGTTTCTGACCTGTTTCTGACCTGTTTCTGACCTTTCCCGGAGTCTTCTTCAACTTCAAAAAAATCAGCACGGGCAGTCAAACTAGGAACAATTTTAGTGATCGTCAAAGTAATATCATTACTAGTGCCCCAAATACTAGTACTAGTGCTACTAGTAGTAGTAGTAGTGGTAGTAGTAGTAGGAGGAGTAGTAGAAGTAGTAATAGTAGTAATAGTAATAGTAGAAGTAGCAATGATAAGAGCTGAGGTGGATGGATGGATGGATGGATGGATGGATGGATGGATGGGATGCTAGGCAAGTGCTGCCTTTTTGGTGTTTCTGACCTGTTTCTGACCTCTTTCTGACCTGTTTTCAATTGGAGCTAGCTTGAATGTCCTTCTGACCTGAAAACATCTGCGCGGATTCCGCGCGCGCGGAATCCGCGCGGCCATGTCAATTATTGACATGGTTCTGGTCTCGAAAGTAGTAGTAGTAGTAGTAGTACTAGTAGTAGTAGTAGTCGTCGTCGTAGTAGTCGTAGTAGTCGTACTCGTCGTAGTAGTACTCGTACTAGTAGTAGTAGTAGTAGTAGTCGTAGTCGTAGTCGTAGTAGTCGTAGTAGTAGTCGTCGTCGTCGTCGTACTAGTAGTAGTAGTAGTAGTAGTAGTAGTCGTAGTAGTCGTAGTAGTCGTAGTAGTCGTAGTAGTAGTAGTAGTAGTACTAGCAGTACTAGTAGTAAAAGTAGTAAAAGTAGTAAAAGTAGTAGTAGTAGTAGTAGTAGTAGTACTAGTAGTACTAGTAGTACTAGTAGTACTAGTAGTACTAGTAGTAATAGGGTGGTAGCCGTATAACCAATCGCCAACCAATCGCTCAGCCTATCGCGATGCAGGTTTTAGCAATCGCGCAAAGCAAAGTAAACGCATCAATTCATAAATTTGTGACCTGCTTTTACGGACGGCTCCCATATGTTTAAAAGAAGATTTTTTATTGACCGTCCCACACCTGCCACACAAAACGGGCTTGAAAATGTGATCCGCAGTTGACCGAGATGGATGTTTTGTAAAGCTTTCAAGAAGCATAAACTTTGTTCCTCCTGAAGGGTACAAAAAATTATGTAGTGGGCATTCATTTGCTGATTTTTGCACCTGCTTCAGCTTGGCCAATACTCCACGAGACAGACATAACATGTCTGTCTCCATCCTCTTTGTCTGCACTGCTACACATGTGCCGTGACGCAGGGTACAAAAAGCTTATTTAGTGGGAATTGCCAAATCATTTGCTGATTTTTGCACCTGCTTCAGCCCGGTCATTACTCCACATAACATGTCTGTCTCCACCCTCTTTGTCTGCACTGCTACACATGTGCCGTGACGCACTGGTAGGACAAAAGTTGCGCTTGTTGAGCTTCCCACAGTGAACATGTTTGGTTTCTTCTTCTTCACACCCTTTCCCCGTAGAATCCTAGCATGGAGCCTTGTCGTACCCCGGTCGCATTACCAGTACCACCCTCCAAAAGCTTTAAAATCTTATATGTGTAAAAGAGGGTGATAATTGACCCTCCCACACCTGCCACACAAAACGGGCTTGAAAATGTGATTCGCAGTTGACAGAGATGGATGTTTTGTAAAGCTTTCAAGAAGCATAAACTTTGTTCCTCCTGAAGTATATTATATATATAGATATATACATATATTAATAATATTAAAAAATTTCAAAACATATAATATATATAATATGAAATATATAAATTATAAAATATATGTCTTATAACATATATACATTATGTAATATTGTATATATATTAATATACATAAACATAAAATAAAATATAATATAATATTTAATATTTAATATAATATAATACAATATATATATATGATTCTATATATATATGATTATATATATATATATGATATATAGTAAATAATAGATAATATATAATATATAATTATATAATGTATTTTTAAAAAAAAAAATGATACACAATGTATCATATATAGTGAATGAATAAATTAATATATAATCTTTAATAAAAATATTGTATATTGTATAATACGAAACAATACAATACAATACAGTATATATAGCTTAATAAAGTGCAATACAATACTGTACAATATGATTCCATAAAACACATTATAACAAAATATATATATAACAAGATAACAAATAATATTACATATTGGAATATAAAATACTATAATATGTTATAAGTCATAACAATGTACGGCAATACAATATGGTATATTGTACATACCAATACTTCGCCTATGATTTGCCTTTCAGAGGTAAACACAATCTGGCTATATTTGTGGCATGAACGAATCATCAAATGCAGCTCCATTGTAGCTCCTAAATTGTGAAGCCACACATCTTGACCTAATAAAATCATATAAAATCAAGACTGATGCTGGGTCAACTCCGTCAAAAGCAACTTGAAAGCAATGGATCTCCCGAAGACACGGGTTCATTAATATAAATTCCTTGAAATCAAATCTGGGGAAACAAAAAAAAACATTGAGAATTGAGAAATCTTTGATTTCAAATGATTTCAAGATGCCTTCTATTTTGGAAAATCTGTTTCAAGGCTGCGTGCCCGGGATTTCTACTGGCGTACATCACCCCTGAGCCCCTGGCGTGCAGTCATCATCGTCAGCTTGGACATCAGCGCAGTCCTGTTGTGGGACCCTACGCTTTGAATATTTGAACATCTTTGAATCGGATTGAGTTTTGCTGTTGAAAAATGTTGAAAAAACAAATGTTTGCTGCAAATAGGCTTTGAGCCTCCCCCAAGAGCATCAGAAGCAGGGTCACTCCGAAACTGTACCTGCAGGGTTCAACGCAGCTCTTCACAGTCTCAGCATCTTGGTTGCTTTAGAATGCTGCTTGATGCAAAGTTGCAAAGTCGCAAATAGTCTTGTGGCAGGACTGCCGCTATCGCCATACTATAGTGCAAACCAAACAAAACTGGCAAATGGCATAGCTGTTGTAAGTCTGTCTCGCTGTCTGTCCTTTGGCACACCGAACAGGAAAACCTGTCTTGTACGTTCAGAAGACAGTGGCCAGCCATGTGGTCACGCGTCCGTCTTGAAGGGATCAAATGCGACTTCGTGGACCGGACCTGCAAACTGTCTGTATGCGCTTTCTCTGAAATAGCTCTTTATCATCTTTGCAAGGTGCGTGAGACTTTCAAAAAAGCACAGGTCTGACTCCTTGAAGATTTGGAGGAATCACACAGTATCCGCACTGAAAGGCGTGGAAAAGCGCAATTCCATTCTGTCATCCTGAAGTAGTTTTCTTCAGGGGGATTACTTGATAAACCCTCTTGCCTTTCCGGGCAGGTGTTTAAGCATGCCAACTTGCATTTGGAGATACTTAGAGCACGAGGACAAATAAAACTGAAGAATTTTGTACATTTCATTACATTTCTATACTGTATTACTGTAGATTATATTGGTCTGTACGACAGCGTTTATTCTAATTGTATGTTATGGCGAGCTACCATCGACACTCTGAAGTTGTTGTAAGGTCATGGAAAGATCCGACCAGGTAGCTGCACAATTGGCGGAAGTCTGCAACATCTGGGGAAACAGATCACGAGCAACAGCTCGGCACATTGCACAGCATTGGATCATATTGGATCGGTGTGCAGGTGCAAACAAGAGTCAACATCACACCAAACCTCCCAGTTTGCAGTATCATTGGCCTAGCCCTGCAATGTGAAACGTGGCATCACCAGCATGCTCAAGACTTCCGCTCCAAACCCAACCCATCCCAATCCAGTCTGCCCCTTTAATCCCTTTAATTCAAAACATCAACATTCATGATGTGATGATGCGTCAAATTAAATTACAATCAATTTTACTTCACAAAATGAAACTAGCCGAAAAGGATGGAAAAGGATTGCAGGCTTGTACTGATAATGGTCGGGGAATGCTTGGACCAACAGGCAATATGTCAGGCACTATGTTACAAAGTTTACATAAGTTTACTGGTAACTTTTCGCCGATGTTCTCCTATGTTCTGGTTTCACAGTAGTGCTAAACCAGGAGACACTCTTGTCACCATTAACAGTCACAGCGAATTCAGAGTTCTTCCACTGCGTCTTTCTCAAGCCTTTCTCCACGCTAAACAGATCTTTAAGATATCATGAAGATCCTAAAGCTGCCCGAGAGCCTTCTACTCCCAGGATAAGCTCTGGCGCCCAGAAACTGCGGCAGGCAGTGGGCCAAACATTCATTCGAGAGATAACTAAATGTATTTCTATATGTATTCTCATATATAATATATATATATATAATTATATATATATATAGATATAGATATAGATTATGAAATATGGTTGAATATGGTTGAATAAAAATAACGAAACATATTTGTATGAATTGCTATTATATATTACATGGAAAAAAAATAAACGACCGCATATGATACTTTTTCATATGATTACAATCTCACGATATCTCACAACAAATATAAAATAGCGGTTCTTGACAGTTCTTGTTTCTTGCTGTGTTCCTTTCTTTGGTGTAGCGAATCCCTGAAGCCACTCCTAGGTCCCAGCCCCATTCAGGTTGATGAGCCCCCAACTCTCAATGTGCATTCAATGCATTCTGCTCTTTTCTCACTTGACACACCAACAGCTGGCATCAGAATCCCGTCTAGCAGCTGGGTCCACTGTGAAAGTCATGTCTGCACAAGTGTCAAATACATTCAAATACCATCAAACAATCAGCTCAATAAAGGCACCTTGGTGTGCCGGCTAGAGGCATCTCCTGTTCCTGCGCTGGGAGGGACAAAACAATCAGGAGAGTTCCCAATGCAGCGAGTGGAGGATGTGGGGCATGTAGCAAGCTTTTGGTTTCCTGGTTTTGCTCCTTAAATCATTTTGGGGATGAAACTGTTACGCAGAGACGTTCACACTTATCCTGAGTCCTCTTGACACACCTTGGGAACCTGAGTCACCCTGACAATCCTGCTCAAAGGCATTAAAGCTTGGCGGAAGGACGCAGGCTGATTCGTTGAATGATTCCAAAGTGTGTTCTGCAATGAGAGCATTCTCACTCTCAGATGGCACGACTCTTTGCGGTTTCTTTGATGCGAGGAATCAGCTCAAAAGAACTCTTTTGGGGGAAATGGATCTCCGTTGAATCTCCAACCCGCCAATGAATCTTAATGAAATTATATACATCCGATACCAAGCACTACAGTAGGCCACCCCTTGCAACAGCTTCCAAAAACATGTGGAATTGGAAGTTTGTGCTGTCCCTTCAGCTTCAAACAAGAAAATCACACAAACTGTCAATCCCCCCCTGGCCCGTTGCCATCCGCTTCCCTGAGCAAGGCACACTGAAAAACTTTCTCCCGACGTATAAGGCCAAGCCAAAATCTGCCAACTTTGCCTCCACAGCAGAAGGGCACTGCAAGATTCACTCAGTCCACCGTCCATCCTGCATAGACTCGTGAGACTCTCTTTGGATTGGTTTTGAAGTCAAGCGGTATTTGAAGTGGATTTAACATCTTCATGATTTTACTCAATCTGTGCACATCTCCACAGTGATTACTCCAGTCACCAGCCGAAAGCAGTTGCCCATTTGCGAAGTCAAGTTTGTGAAGCAAGCCGAATTTGTCTGAAGACAAACAAACATGCTGGTGATGAGATGTCTTCTGAGACCGTCAAAAAACCGTTAAAAGGGGTCACAGACTACCATCAGTGGCCATTTCAGGTACTTGTGCTGGAGGTACTTACTGTAAAATGTTGGGGATATATATCTACCTATATTAGCCCTTACAGACCTCACACAATATGGATACATATGGTACAAGTAGGTACCTCCGATTTAGGTATATACCTGAAATGGCTACTGACCAGGGAATTTGAATGAATTTGATCTGTAGTCCACCTCATCATATGCAGAGAGCAGAACGTTCTTGGGTTTGACGTCGCGGTAGATGATGCCATACTCCTGCAACGTATCTTTGACGTGATCTGTCCAGAGTATGGCTGCTTCGTCTTACCAGTACATGCTTAGAGTATTGACCCACCATTGCTGCAAGCCCTTGCAAGTATGGCCTGGTGTAGTTGCAGTGGTCAGCAGGCAAGTGGTAAAGCAACAGCAACATGTCCCTTTGCGCTTTGTAAAAACTTCATCTAAATCCATGGTTCTAAAAACTTCATCGGCATTATTCGGCATTGCTTGCTTTGTTGCTTCTTGGAAGGCTGGTTCCCAACATGACCTCGTGCAAGTGCACAAGCGCCAAAAGCACCTGCCCAGCAAACTTGGCAGCACCTCACAGTGTCCAGGTCCAGGCTCTTGATTTCCAGACGTCACATACCAAAGTAACTTGCTCCTGTTTGGTGGAATGTAATGGAATGTAATGGAATGTGCATGTCGTGACTCCGACTTGCAATCCCCAAGCCCATTTTGTGCTTGAAGCCAACTTGAAACCTTTCTGCATCATCCCTCCCATGCCGTCCATCGGCAAGGCACGCTCCAAGGGCAAACCGGGATAGCGCCCTGCCGGATCCGCTCTGCAAAGAAGTTGATTCACATCACCGTTGGGACCTTGGAAACAGCTAATGAAACTGCCAAAGGAACAGCTACGAAGAGACAAGGAGACTTTCGGGAAGGACAAGCACTGCCGCTCAGCACAAATCCCGCAGCGCCACGTGGCATTTCCCACGGGGCGCAGCGGTCTCGCAAATCAATTGAATTTGAATTTACGGTAAAGCATTTTAAAGCTGGAACCAAAAAACACGTTTAATCTTTAAAAGAAACTAACATATTGTCTTCCTCAGCTGTTAGACTTCTAGACTGCTAGACTCTTGGTGCCATGACACTCAAAATAACGCCGTTTAGTTTACTCCCCTTCCAGAACCTGCAGGCACTGGTACATGGCCGTGGCCAAGGTATGCCAAGGTGCAAAGCTCTAGCAGTAATGCATAGTAGTGAGGAGTCTGAAAGGCTTGCCTCATAGGACTGGAGATATCTGGAGTCTGAAGGATGTAATGAAGTGCACTGGCAACTCACCAAGTTGTACAAGCAGCAACAAGCGACCACAACTATCATCAAAGCGACCAACTGTCATCCCAAAAAAAAATAAGTGAGGCAATTCATATCATAACAGATGCATCAAATGTATTCAATTGCCAGAATTGTCCAAATGCAAGCGACTCCAAGCGTACAATGAAGGGATGTCTACATCTCCTGTCACACAGCTTCCAGCCATGAATCAAATCACTATCGAATGGAAGTCTTCATCACACGTGTCTTCTGCAAAAGTCGAAAGCTAGGCGAAGAAGAAGAAGAAGAAGAATCAAATATCCAAATGATAAATGAAAATGAGTATAACAGTTTAATAAATGAAAATAGGTCAAAGGACACGTTGCGTCTTGCGATGACAAGAGGTCAGTCATCAAGACTTCGCTGATAGCTGTCCTCAGTGCCACCACCTCTGAATATGCCTGCCAATCCAGGTGCATGTTGCCTTAGATGTGTGCTTTGAGGCGTTCAACATCGTTTAACTGTGTCCTGTCACATCACATTACATAATATAATAAAAGTTATAATTTCTCTTGAGGGCGGAGTTTTAATCCCTAAATGCTCCGTCTTCATTCAAAACAAGTGGCGCTTGGACTGCAGCTTCATGGCAAATCGCTTTGGTCCCTCTGCCCTTGGCAGGCTGCTCTGAGGGAATTGTCACCACTCATGACTGGTGAGTGCAAGGCTGCTAACGTCAAGGATGAAATTGTCTGGGCAATAAGTGCCACATGCCAACTCACTAAAATATACAGTACTAAAATCTCGTGTTGTTCCCACATGTTCAAGGCCTCTCAAATGCTCAGGATTGGGGGATTGGGAGATGTTCATTGCATCTGGCAGGATCCTGATGAACTGCTACAAGCTGCACGGCGCTGTCCAATCGCAATCGAAGTGAGGAACGAGTTTGCGTTGGTGCCTTCAGAGGGCTTCCACTTGTGAAGCTTCTCTTGTTTTGAACACAACATGACGCACCAACAGTGCACAAACTGCTTTTCTGCATGCATTCCGCACGTCAAACAAACCCTCTTTGTCGAATACGAAGCAATGGTGCCCTGTCAAATCTAGTGCTGGGCCACTGCTCATGTAAACACTTCAAGAGACTGTAAAGAAGTAGGTTGCTTCCTTGGCTTCAAAGGAAGCTCTTTGCTGAAATATCTGCAGATTTTTGGTCTGGTTCAGAATCGCTGGAGCCTCGTATTCCACTTCAATAACTGTGCCCGAAGCACCTGAATGGTGGACATTGGAGGACAAACCGAACTGGACTGCCTGTCACTACCTGCCGTCTGTTTCCTGTAGGGAGCAGCGACTAATCACTGCACGATGTCGAGACGTGGAGAGGAGAGACACATCAGTTGTAAATAGATTTTGCGAACAATTCTCCGGCTTTCAGCTACTGACTATGTTTGGACATGTTTTGCGCCTTGTCCCAGCGTCCTCACCCTTTTCCTGAGCAGAAACCACCAGCTGATTGAAGTTTCATGACGCTTCAGATTCAGCAAGTTTGAAGTGAGGAATGGAGCCCTCACATTTACCATGCAATGCATATAAAATATTGTACGTATATATAATTAATATACATATAATATATATATAGTGATTGTGTATATATAAATATATACATATATTATATACACTATTTACTTAACATTTATATACATCATAATCATATATACATATTTATGTATACTGTTTAAGACTGCAAAGCCCATTGAAAGCTGGCAGTGATCTATACGCCAGTCCATGATAATGAGTCGCACTTCTCTGTCTCCTATCTTTCTTCTACGCGACCCCTGTATCTAAAGCCTTCAACAAGTAGCACACCAACGAAATTGTACAACCCACCTTCGAAAATTGCTAATAGGATCTAATAGGTAATGCTGATTGCATTCCAGTGCAATCCCAGGCCATGCATGTCATGCGTCGGAACAGGCAGTTCTCAGCCAATTCGCAATTATGGCCCGTGGCAGGTAAACATTCCTGACGTTTAGTCCCAAAAGGCGTTTCAAATTCCTTGAAGACGTTCAACGCAATTCAAAAGATGTGTTCAAATATCTCAAGATGTATTTTGTATTATTTTGCCATATTGTGCTGATATATGTTGATATATTTTGTCAAGCTTCAACTGCTCAAGCCCCACAGCTGGTTGTCTTTGCAGCAGCAGCCGGGCCAGGGTGCCGGTGCTGTGCGCCACTAGCAATGCACTCACTGAATGCAAATCATGAAGTTCTGGCGCCTGCAGGGGGCTATTGCAGTCTACTAAAACATCATGTCGTGATGGTGATGGTGATGGTGATATGATGCTATGCTGATGATGATGTTACTGATGATGACACTTGATGACACTGATGATGAGCCGTATGCCGCATGTAACATCATGTATATAAAGCAAAATAGCTCAAAAGAGCGTCTACAATGCAGTCCTGCGGTGAGCAATCTTTAGACTTTCAACGGGTTACTGACAACTGAAGTCCTGGACAAGTACAGAGAGGCCCCTCCTTTCAGTGTGACCGTGCCAGGGCACATTTTCTTCTTGTGCATTAGGTCCGAACAGCTGTAGCAAATGTCTGCTCATTGCCAAATGCGCCCTGCGCAAGGCAACCAAGCTTATACAGCTATTAAAGCTTTGCATCTCAAATTGATGACCAGATGAGTACAGTCCCCAAAGATGCTAAGAAGTCTCAAAAAAAAACAAACCTTTGATGCATGGATGCAATATCATTCTCATTCCGTGGTGTCTGGACTTTGAAGGGATTGAAAACCAGTGGGATGCACCCCCTTATCATGGACTTAAAGCATCACCTTCTGATTTTACAACCAGTCCTGACGTTGTGGAGGCTGGATGCAGAATACGTTTCTTCTGCATTTCTCCTGCCAAGCAATTGTGAGAACAAACTGAACAAACTATTATATATATACATATGTGTGTGTGTGGAATTGTGTGGACATGAGAAGCAAACAGGTCAATGAAAGAAATGAAACCACTTTATTGGCTACTCACGGCTACTCATTCAAATGTTCTTTGACTTGCGGGCGCCCTCAGTCTGACAAAACAATTTGTTCTGCGGTACGAGTGACCAAATCAGTTTCTAGCAGTGGCTATGTTCCCCCAAGCCCTTTAAAAACAAACAACAGAAGACAATGTCTTAAAGATGTTGAAAGCTGCCTTTGTGAGTCTGTCCTTTGATAGTGACACAAACAATAAACAGGTCAAAATAAGATGTTACCTTCTGACTTGATCTTCTAATGAAGCGTGTGTGTGTGTGCGCGCACCACGCAGCAGTGCAAATTGAATAAATCATAATAAATCAAACACAAATAATTCAACAAGTTTTCTGCAGTACCTAAATTCCCTTCTCCTGGCCCTCTCACAATTCTTAGAGTACAAAGGAGACATGTTTTGTGGACAGCGGGCTATGCAAGATTGACCTCTGGAGCTTCAGAGTAACATGTCAAAGACAACATGCAGACTGGCGAAAGGAATTTAAGGAAGGACTCCGGCTGCAAAAGGGAGATAGGAAAAGAGGAAAGGTCACAAGCCACCTACCTATCCTTCCAATGTTCTGTGATATACAGTATTCTTTTATAATGTAGCAAAGCAAAATTATTGGAGAGGATTCGGCGCGAAAATATGACATGTCGACATTGTTTGACAACTTTGCTAGGCATTTGCACGTAACCATCAAGTAAAATATGGCCCACAGGAGCATCTCTGACCGAGAAAGAAACCGAAACAAACTGACAAAATGGGACGAACCCCTGGCATGGAAGGCGCAATCCACGTGCAAATCCACGTGCGGTCCATGCGCACGCCCACAGCGTGTCTCACCTTGTCCCTCGCTCCGGCTCGAGGAGAAGGAAGAGCTGCCGAGTGTCATCGCCGTTCCTACAGTACAGTCAGATGTATACAGCACGTCTCGCAGTTTAGAATCAGTTTTCAGTCGAGTCAACAGCAACGTAGTCCAGCTAAGGAAGAGGTCAGAACTAAATGGATATTCAATGCGAAATGTTGATTCTAGATGCATATATATATACACGCGCAACGCCTGGGTTCTGCCCAGGCGTTGCAGCGTATATATCTACAATTCACAAACAAATGATATTGCAAATTACAGTAATTCCTATGGGAAAAATAACAAAGGTATTAAGGACTATTAAACAAACAAGGTCAAAACACCCGAAATTCCTATGGGAAAAACAAAAACAGCATAATATTTGAAATTTCTATGAGAAAAACAGAAAAGGTACTAGGAAATTTTAAACTCTCAAATCGTGAAACTTAACATTCAATTAGGAAGATCAACAAAGATATTAGGGAATGTTAAACTCCCACCCCCATTAAACCTTAAATTCCTATGGGAAAAACAGCAAAGGTACTAGGGACTATTTAAAAAAAAGGGTCAAAACACCCGAAATTCCTTTGGGAAAAACAAAAACGGTATTAGGAAATATTAAACTCCAACCCCCGTTAAACTTTACATTCATTTGGGAAGATCAACAAAGATATTAGGGAATATTAAAACTCCCACCGCCGTTAAACTTCTACATTCACTGAAGATCTTCAATAAGGGTTTAATTCTCCCACCCCCGTTAAACTTCTACATTCATTGAAGATCTTCAATAAGGGTTTAATTCTCCCAACCCCGTTAAACTTCTACAGTCATTGAAGATCTTCAATAAGGGTTTAATTCTCCCACCCCCGTTAAACTTCTACATTCATTGAAGATCTTCAATAAGGGTTTAATTCTCCCACCCCGTTAAACTTCTACATTCATTGAAGATCTTCAATAAGGGTTTAATTCTCCCACCCCCGTTAAACTTCTACATTCATTGAAGATCTTCAATAAGGGTTTATTTCTCCCACCCCCGTTAAACTTCTACATTCAAATAAGGGTTTAATTCTCCCACCCCCGTTAAACTTCTACATTCATTGAAGATCTTCAATAAGGGTTTAATTCTCCCACCCCCGTTAAACTTCTACATTCATTGAAGATCTTCAATAAGGGTTTAATTCTCCCACCCCCGTTAAACTTCTACATTCATTGAAGATCTTCAATAAGGGTTTAATTCTCCCACCCCCGTTAAACTTCGACATTCATTGAAGATCTTCAATAAGGGTTTAATTCTCCCACCCCCGTTCAACTTCTACATTCACTGAAGATCTTCAATAAGGGTTTAATTCTCCCACCCCCGTTAAACTTCTACATTCATTGAAGATCTTCAATAAGGGTTTAATTCTCCCACCCCCGTTAAACTTCGACATTCATTGAAGATCTTCAATAAGGGTTTAATTCTCCCACCCCCGTTAAACTTCTACATTCACTGAAGATCTTCAATAAGGGTTTAATTCTCCCACCCCCGTTAAACTTCTACATTCACTGAAGATCTTCAATAAGGGTTTAATTCTCCCACCCCCGTTAAACTTCTACATTCATTGAAGATCTTCAATAAGGGTTTAATTCTCCCACCCCCGTTAAACTTCTACATTCATTGAAGATCTTCAATAAGGGTTTAATTCTCCCACCCCCGTTAAACTTCTACATTCATTGAAGATCTTCAATAAGGGTTTAATTCTCCCACCCCCGTTAAACTTCTACATTCATTGAAGATCTTCAATAAGGGTTTAATTCTCCCACCCCCGTTAAACTTCTACATTCATTGAAGATCTCCAATAAGGGTTTAATTCTCCCACCCCCGTTAAACTTCTACATGCATTGAAGATCTCCAATAAGGGTTTGATTGATGATGATGATGATGATGATGATAATGATGATGATGATGAGTCGCCCGTCGTCGTTGCGGGTCCGGGCAGAACCCAGGCATTTGCCGTATGTATATATATATATACAGTATATAGTACCGTGCTACCGCAGGTTCCAAACACAAACGGTATGACAAATGTCACGGTGACAGAGTCGGCATTGCGTTCGTGCCCAATGTGCTCTTTGGGAAGCTAAAGTAACAAAGAGGTACTCGACAAAAAAAAAGTAAAATAGGATAACAAACAGTATTTGGCGTGTTTGCGCACATTGCATCAGGACCCTGGTTGGTTTCAAATTAGACAGGTTCTAAGCACCTGGTTCTGAAAGGATTTTTTTGGGAAAGGGAAATCCTAAAAACACCTTCTTTGATGGATTGAAAGATAGAGTATTGGGCCTGCTTGCACAGTTTTCATCAGCATCATGGTAGGTTGGTTTCAAATTAGACAAGTTTAAGTTTCGAGATAAGGCCAAATGAAGGAAAGAAGGGTGCACCTGCTTGCAAGTACGCAGAGTTGTTTTTCAAAAAACTCCTTGAACATACAACATCAATCAACATCATATATTTCACATCACTGCAGTGGATATGTGTGAAAAAACGTTGCATCGCCTCCTCTTGGTTGCGGAATGCGACGATTGTGGAACCAGTCCACATCGTTACCACCATCATCGCTAGTTTTTTGTTGTTTGATTCTAAATCCCTTTCAAGTACCATGTTCTACGTACCTTAGAGCCACGGCGCTACCAATTTTGCTGCAACTGGTTTGCGTTTGTTGCTGTTATTTTTTGAAAAAAACTAAGTACCAGTACTGCTGCACAAGGCGGTGGCAGAAGTTTCAGACTAGGAAACCTATAGGAGAGCTTGGTTGTTGCGAATCACGGATGGCAAAGCGAATCCACTGATGGACTGCAAGGTGGTTGGAGTTGTGCTTTTTGGAGTGGTTACAATGGTTGCAGTGGTCGCCTGGTCGGTCACCTCACCCACAACTGCTGGATGTAGTGTGGTGCAGCGCAGCTGTAGTTGTAGTTTGTAACGTAGTGGAGTTGTAGTTGTGGTGTAGTGTAGTTGCGGTTGCAGTTGCAGTTGCGGTGGTGTAATGAGTGTAGTCTAATGTAGAGTAGTGTAGCGTAGTCTAGCGTAGTGTAGTGTAGTCTAGTGTAGTGTGGTGTGGTGTGGTCTGGCGTAGTGTAGTGTAATGTAATTGTGTAGCGTAGTAAAGTGTGGTGTAGCGTGTTGTAGTTGTAGTTGTAGTTGTAGTTTGTGTAGTGTAGTGTAGCGTAATGTAGTGTAGTTGTTGTTGTCGTTGTAATTGTAGTTGTAGTTGTAGTTGTAGCTGAGTGGAGTGGAGTGGGGTGGAGTGGAGTGGAGTGGAGTGGAGTGGAGTGGAGTGCAGTGCAGTGCAGTGCAGTGCAGTGCAGTGCAGTGCAGTGGTGGTTGTAGTTGAAAGTTGAAACTGCCACAAAACCCTCACCCTTTTCCTCACTTTCGACAAGGGCACAGTCCCTTGCGCCTGCCATGCAAAACGATATTTGAACGTCCAAAGGTGGTCCGAACATGTGGTGCTTTTAACATTTTGACTTGGAAAGGTGCTTCGCGCCACAACGGTGTGCACTTTTCGACATCTCAACTTCCAAAAGTGGTCCGAGACCGTCAGTTTTTTACACGATTGACTTCGAGATGTGCCTCGCGCCACAACGGCGTGCAGTTTTTCGTCATCTCAACTTCCAAAAGTGCTCCGAACGTGAGGTGTTTTTAGCGTTTTCACTTGCACATGTGCTTCGCGCCACAACGGCGTGCAATTGTTCATCTCTCAGCTGGCCAGCTGGCTCCGCACCCGCCGCCCACAAATCATTGGAAAAACACTGTGTTTCGCGACTTTCCTACCTTTTCGCGCATCTGGATCTTCTTTCGTCTGAGATTTTATCTTTCTTCTTCTCTTCTCTTCTCTGACTCTTCCCATCTCTGCTTTTCTTCTGTCCATATTGTCGGAAGTTTGACTTTTAAACTTCGTTCGGCAAATATGTATGTGTGCATATGTAGGTATGTAGGTATGTAGGTATGTAGGTATGTAGGTATGTAGGTATGTAGTATGTAGCTATGTAGGTATGTAGGCATGTAGGTGTGTAGGTAGGTAGGTAGGTAGGTAGGTAGGTAGGTATGCATGCATGCATGTACGTACGTACTTACGTATGTATGCATGCATGCATGCATGCATGCATGCATGCATGGATGTATGTGTGTATGCATGTATGTATGTTTATAATGTATATAATGTTTAATATGTATATAATGTATATAATGTATATAATGTATATAATGTATATAATGTATATAATGTTTAATATGCGTATATAATGTATATAATGTATATAATGTTTAATATGTATATAAACATATAATGTATATAATGTATGCCATGTATACAATGTATTTATTGCATATATATATATATATAATTATATATACACTCCCCAAAAATAACATAGAACTGCATGCTATTCCTGAGGTCTCCTAACATGAACCTATGGCACGGTCTCAAGTGGATTTTGTTCCCCAGGAAATCATGCAACTAACTTGTTTAATAAAATCACTCAAAAACTGATATGGAACCCAATGCAGGCCCAAACTGAACCCTAACTGCAGACAACATGGAATTTGAACAAGTTATCACAAGGCAATCTGCAACCTTGAAGGGTGACTTGAAGGTTAACCTGGAACCCAAGTGGTTTTTAAGGCGTTCTCCGTTCTCCTTGAACATTCCCTGTTAACAGCCTGTTAGTGACTTTCGGGCGACCCTACTTTTCACTTCGTATGCGCTCACGGCATCATGCTTTGAACTTGGGTAGAGCCATCGCAATACCAGTTAAACATGGCACCCAACAAATTGAGGAAAATCAGTTGGAAGTTTCTATGCCTCCAGTAGCTGAATGGCTGATGACTCCGGGAACTGGATGGCTTTACTGGAACTGTTGGTTCAGCACTAAACTCTTTACCTACCAGGTCCAAGGGGTGCCCATTTAGGTTCCAAGTTGGGTTCCAGGTTGGTTTGTTTCGGGCGGGCTCGGCCTCTGCAAACATACCACAATGTGTTAAGATAAACTTTTTACCTACCAGGTCCAAGGGGTGCCCATTTAGGTTCCAAGTTGGGTTCCAAGTTGGTTTGTTTCGGGTGCTCGGCCTCTGCAAACACACTACAATGTGTTAAGATAAACTTTTTTACCTACCAGGTCCAAGGGGTGCCCATTTAGGTTCCAAGTTGGGTTCCAAGTTGGTTTGTTTCGGGGGGGCTCGGCCTCTGCAAACATACCACAATGTGTTAAGATAAACTTTTTACCTACCAGGTCCATCCAGGCCCAAGGGTGCCCATTAGGTAACAAGTTGGGTTCCAGGTTGGTTTGTTTCGGGGGTGCTCGGCCTCTGCAAACACACTACAATGTGTTAAGATAAACTTTTTACCTACCAGGTCCAAGGGGTGCCCATTTAGGTTCCAAGTTGGGTTCCAGGTTGGATTGTTTCGGGTGCTCGGCCTCTGCAAACACACTACAATGTGTTAAGATAAACTTTTTACCTACCAGGTCCAAGGGGTGCGCATTTAGGTTCCAAGTTGGGTTCCAAGTTGGTTTGTTTCGGGGGGGCTCGGCCTCTGCAAACATACCACAGTGTGTTAAGATAAACTTTTTACCTACCAGGTCCATCCAGGCCCAAGGGTGCCCATTTAAAGGTAACAAGTTGGGTTCCAGGTTGGTTTGTTTCAGGGGGTCTCGGCCTCTGCAAACACAGCACAGTATGTTAAGATAAACTTTTTACCTACCAGGTCCAAGGGGTGCCCAATTTAGGTTCCAAGTTGGGTTCCAAGTTGGTTTGTTTCGGGGGTGTCTTGGCCTCTGCAAACACACCACAGTGTGTTAAGATAAACTTTTTACCTACCAGGTCCAAGGGGTGCCCATTTAGGTTCCAAGTTGGGTTCCAGGTTGGTTTGTTTCGGGGGGGCTCGGCCTAAATGCAACTAAGTGTTTTGCAAAAGAAAGAAACCTACCATGCGATTTTTTTTGAAAAAGCAAGTAAATGGGCATATACAAAAGAAAAAGAAATACAGACGATAAGAATCTTATCGTCTGTATCGTTTTCTGCTGTTGTTTTAATCTCAGCATTTCTCATGTCACAACGGTGGGGGACACACAACGGGTTCCAAGTTGGGTTCCACGGTGACACAACGGGAGACACAATGGGGAGCCAACGGGGGGAGACACAACCGCTCGAGGACTTCGACCCAACGGGGGAAGGTCCGCCTGGAACACCTGGAACACGACGGAGTAAACGGGGCAGGCTACAACGCAGTTTTACAACGGGAAGGCCACAAGGAGAACATGAGCTGTCATCTTTATGGTGGGGAAATGGGAAAAAGGTATTTGTGTAAAATTCTAAAAATTAAAAATTGATATTATATGAGCTCTTTACTTTTTGGACATGTCTATTTTGAAATGTGAATATGTGCTTCAATGTGTTTATTTTATACGCATGTTTTTATGTTACAAAAGATGTCAGATAGAATGTCAGAATATTTCTCAGAGAAAATGTCAGATAAAATGTCAGAATATTCATTGGAATTATTTTATTTTTGATTTGGGATAAAAGTTTACAACGGGAAGGCCACAACGAGAAAATGGCGGCTAACATGGAACTGTTGGTTGAGCACTAAATGGCAGCTTGTGGCTTGTGGGGTTCTATGTTCATATGACAAGTAGCGAAAAGGTGCTCGAATATATCAAAATTCACCAGCACATACCAGCAGCAACATAGCACCTTCCTAGCACCTATCCCGCTCATGAATTTTAACATGGGTGCGCTAACATGGATCCCTTTTTTCCCCGAATGCGTAGCAAGGGTTCCCATTTCACTCTGGGGGTCTGGGGGTTGAGGGTGTGTTCGCTCGTCGTTGCGTTTATGTACGTTCGCAACCATCCGCAACCGTTCGCAACCGTTCGCAACCATCCGCAACCGTTCGCAACCGTTCGCAACTGCCCGCAACCGTCCGCAACCGTCCGCGACCGTCCGCGCGAGCCTCGTATGGCCGTGCCTTGATAAGTTCTGCAAACTTTTGGAGGTTTCACATATGGCGTTGCTTCGTTTCGCATGGCAGGCGTGGCACTTCGTGACATTCAGACGTGTTTGGTAACGTGTCGAAAGTCGTTTTGCGTGGTTGGCGCAATACTTTTGCGACGTTTTCGTAAGATGCGTTGCAGTTTTCGTGGCAGGCGCAGCACTTTGGACGTGTCTATATCTTCTATTTTGCGGGGCAGGCGCAGCACTCTAGACGTGTTGCGTGTTTTTGCGAATCGCATGGTCAGGGCTGCGTCAAGCGGCGACAAGGTGCAAATTCCGTGGCAGGCGTGGAATTTTGTGAGATGTGCTGAAAATTGACGGAAGCCTCGCACGAAACATCGATTCTGGGGTTGCAAATTTTCAGGTTCTAAGGAAAACTCGTAGGAAAACATCGATTTTGAAGCTACAAAGTGTCAAAATTGAATTGAAGGAAGTCTCGCACGATCTCGCACGATCTCGCACGAAATGCTCGCCTTGAGTTGCAGTTTTCGTGGCAGGCGCGACATTTGGAAGATCTCTGTCGTCATTTTGCGTGCCAGGCGCAGCACTCCACACTCCACACTCCATGCTCTACACTCCACACTCCGCCCTTTACACTTCACACTCCACACTTTACATTCCACACTTTACACTCTACACTCCACACTCTACACTTTACACTCCACACTTTACACTCCACACTTTACACTCCACACTTTACACTCTACACTTTGCACTCCCCACTCTACACCCCACACTTTACACCACACTCTACACTTTAACGCTCTACACTTCACACCCTACACTTTAAACTCCACGCTCCACACTCGACACTTTACACTCCACACTCTACACTTCACTCTCTACACTTCACACTCCACATTCCACACTCCACACTGTGCACTCCACACTCCCCCACTTTACACTTTACACTGTGCACTCCACACGTTACACTCCACACTGTGCACTCCACACTCCCCACTTTACACTTTACACTTTACACTCCACACTTTACACTCCACAGTCCACACTTTACACTCCGCACTTTACACTCCACACTCTACACTTTACACTCCACACGCCACATCCACACTTTACACTTTAGACTCTACACTTTACACTCCACACTCCACACTTTACACTTTACACTCCACACTCGACACTCCACACTCTACACGCGACACTCCCCACTTTACACTCCACACTCCACACTTTACTTTACACTTTACACTCCACACTTTACACTGTACACTCCACACTCCACACTTACACTCCTCACTCCACACTCTACACTTTACACTCTACACTTTAGACTCCACACTTTACACTTTACACTCTACACTTTACACTCCACACTTTACACTGTACACTCCACACTCCACACTCCACACTTTACACTCCTCACTCTACACTCCACACTCTACACTCCACACTCCACACTCCACACTCTACACTCCACACTCCACACTTTACACACTCCACACTCTGCACTTTACACTCCACACTCCACACTCTACACTCCACACTTTACAATTTACACTTTACACTCAACACTCTACACTCCACACTCTACACTACACTTTATACACTCTACACTTTACTCTCCACACTTCACACTCTACACTCCACACTTTACACTCCACACTCTACTTTCCACACTCCACACTCTACACTCCACACTCTACACTTTACCCACTGCACACTCCGCACTCCGCACTCCGCACTTTACACTCCACACTCCTTACTTTACACCCCACACTCCACACTGCACACTCTACACTCCACACTCCACCACACTCTACACTTTACACATTCCACACTCCTCACTCCGCACTCTACACTTTACACTCCACACTCCACACTTTACACTCCACACTCCTTACTTTACACCCCACACTCCGCACTCCGCACTCCGCACTCCACACTCTACACTTTCCACTCCACGCTCCACACTCTGCACTTTACACTCCGCACTCCCCACTCTCCACTGTACAGTACACTCTACACTTTACACTCTACACTCTACACTTTACACTCTTCACTCCACACTTTACACTCCACACTTTCACTCCCCACTCCACACTTTACACTCCTCACTCCACACTCCACACTCCACACTCCACACCTTACACTTTCCACTCCACACTCCCCACTCTACACTTTACACTCCACACTCCACACCTTACACTTTCCACTCCACACTCCCCACTCTACACTTTACACTCCACACTCCACACTCTACACTTTACACTCTACACTTTACACTCTACACTCTACACTACACTTTACACTCTACACTTTAGACTCCACACTTTACACTTTACACTCTACACTTTACACTCCACACTTTACACTGTACACTCCACACTCCACACTTTACACTCCTCACTCTACACTCCACACTCTACACTCCACACTCCACACTCCACACTCTACACTCCACACTCCACACTTTACACACTCCACACTCCATACTTTACACTCCACACTCCTTACTTTACACTCCACTCTCCACACTCCACACTCTACACGTGCCACTCCAGACTCCAAACTTTACACTCCACACTCTGCACTTTACACTCCACACTTTGCACTTTACACTCTACGCTCCACACTCCACACTCCACACTTTACACTTGACGCTCCACACTTTACACTCCATACTTTACACTCCAGACTCTACACTCCACACTTTACACTTTGCACGCCACCTTCTTCCATATTCCACAGTCTGAGTCTACGGTGCACTGGTATGGTAACAGGGGAAAAATGTACAAGACTGTCCAAATAAACTGTTTCAGAAAAGTGTTCTGCGTGACTGCATATCCATGTGTTTCGACATCTGTACTATTAACATCCGTGTGGGCTGCATCTTGTTTTTGCCCCACGTTGATTTTCAGGAAAGTTTATGTAATTTACTTGACACCAAAGGCAAAAGGAATGATTTTTGGGGCAAGCATCCCCAGTCGGAACTTAACAAGTTTAAAAGAACTCCAAAATTTGCTGCAGCAAATGGCAGATTCAATCTCTGGTTCTCCCGCACCATGGCCAAGAAATCTGAGCTTTCTGATGCGACACTATCCTGCAGCTCAGCTGGCAACATCAATAGACTTCTATCCCAAGGCTGTCAGCAAATCAATTGAAGCACTGTTGTGGCACACCAGCAAGCTGGACTCAAGCACAGGAAATGTTCATTTGTGTTTTGGTTGTCTGCGTTAACTGTGCTTGAAAGAAGAATTTCAGCTGACTCTCTGAGTCTTTTCTCATGGATGTGGCCCTGCCATGTTTGTTGCCTGGAGGATCAGAAACGGCCACACATAATGCTTCTGAAATCTTATAAATGTTTCTCTCTAAATCACTCACCCGTACTGCCTGTGGTATGCGCACACCACAAGCTTCGACAGCCAATTTCAGCAGTTCAGTTCGGCAGCTTCTTAAAACCTCCGACAGAGGATGCATCATTGCGGATCAGAGCAAGTCAATGCAAATGAACACACAGTATATGGATGTATATGGTCACTTCAGTACAGGACTCATGACTCAAACCAGTTCTGTGGCATGGCTGCGGAGGTAAGGCCTTGTTGGCTCCTGGTTGATTCACCAGGAACTCCAACGCTTCCAACTGCAAATGACGGACTGCGAAGTGGATGCAGCTCTCGCCTGGGCTGAGGCGAATCATGTCGCCAGCACAAGCCAACCTGTAAAAATCATTAAGAATCCTGACGCTCGATATGCTTGTGAGGTCTCCAGAGTTTCTGCACAGCACACACACACAAACACGCAACAAAATACAACAAATAGTTCAGCGGTGGACCGGTGGACCGAGGAAAAGTCATACTGTTTGATTCCGAATTGAATGAGAGAATGATACAAAACGCCACGTTGATTGTGACTGGTTATGACTGGTTGTAGACCCCAGATTGCGTAACGCTTTGCCATACAGCCACGCACAATTCGCGGTACGCGGGCTGTGGCAGGCTAACACGGCTAAGACATGTTCTGCCCACGCAGTCTGGAAACATGGGCTGGTGTTTTGCTCGGCAAGGGGGTGTGTATGCAGCAAGAAAATTTTGGGAGGCTGGACACCAGCATCATCTAATCTATGTCTATGGTGGCGTGGTTCATTTCTTTTGAAAGTCTGCTGAGGGAGGTGGTGTAGTGTTCAGAAGTAGTTACGTGTACTGGAAAAAGTGTTTTGAAGATTCTCAAAGATTGCCTTCAAAGGGCGTAGTAAAATTGGTACTGCGAGCACCATTGCAATTACAGAAAGGGATCACACGTGATGAAAAGACTTCAGAACACACTATATACCAAAAGGACCCCTGAGTCAAAAAGTAAACCGGTTCCTTCTAGTTTGTGTTTTGCATCTTGTCGCAGGCCTTCGACGTTGCCACTATTTCGTTCAAGAAGCAAGAAGACTACTCTCAAACCCTTCGCGCCTTTGGAGTTCCGCACCTCAACTTTGCCTCCCAAACTTGGTGAATCTTTCTTGAGGTGATCCGCAGGCTACTTGATTTGGAGGCGTGCAGAAGGGTTCTGAATGCTTAAAATTGGATTCATATAAATTAAAGGAGCGGATAACCCCACATGTCAACTTCTTCCAATAATCACCAAGCAGGACGTGAAGATGAGATGGGAAAGGCAGGAGAGAGAAAGGGCATGGGCCGGAAGGATGGTGGGAAAGAGTAGTAAGTAGTAAGTGAAAGAATCGTGTGTGCCACAAAGTTGTGTGTCAAAACATGTCAAAACAATATATACATGCGTGTGAAAGAGTTGTGTGTGACAATGTTGTGTGTGTGTGAAGGAGCTGTGTGTGTGTGTGACAGGGCTGCATGTGACGGTCCATGTCACCAAACGCCACGCCCACCGCACAAAGTGAAGGTCGATGTCCCTCAGTGCCACACGTGTCACACAAAATGGAGCCACATCACCGCGTCACCGGGAACCAAGCGCGCCACCAGAGCCAGCCCAGTCACACAAGTGCTACGCCTGCCACGCAGAATGAAGGTCGTCGTCACCAAGTGCAGGCCTAGGCCTGCCACACAATCAGCAAGTGCCACGTGCGCCTCTTGGGCTTATAAACCAATAATAGAATAGGACGCGTGCCACACAGAAGTGCAGGTCGGGGTCACCAAGTGCCACGCCTGCCACACAACCAAGCGCCACGATTGCCACACAAAATGGAACGGCGTCACCGGGAACCAAGCGCGCCACCAGAGCCAGCCCAGTGCCACAAGTGCCACGCCTGCCACACAGAATGGAAGTCGGTGTCACCAAGCCTCACGCCTGCCACACAAAATGAAGGTCGATGTCCCAAGCGCCACGCCTGCCACACAAAATGAAGCGGCGTCACCGGGAACCAAGCACCACCAGTTTTCACGCCTGCCACACAAAGGGAAGGTCGGTGTCACCAAGTGCCATGGGGCCCGCCGCACAAAATGGATCGGTGTCACCGGGAAGCAAGCTAGCGCCACAAGTGCCACGCCTGCCACACAGAATTAATAATTAAGGTCGATGTCACCAAGCGCCACGCCTGCCAGGCTACCACACAAAATGGAGCCGCATCACCGGGAACCAAGCGCGCCACCAGAGCCAGCCCAGTGCCACAAGTGCCACGCCTGCCAAAGTAGAAAATCAAAACTTGAATACACCCATGGTTTTTCCAACCGAGAGCCACTAGTGTGCGGAGCACTTGTGCTGCTTGAGCGTCGACCTAACCCTCGGCCTAAAATGGTTTAAATACATATGGACACACAAAAATCCAGCAAAATGCTGTATGACATGGATTCAAAAGTGCGGAGTCACACTCCGAACCCTCCCAATTCAACTGCATGGGTGGTACTAATAATTCTGGATTTGCTGCCGGCACGTTAGCAAGCATCCCGGCGCATAATCAGCTTTGCATGAAGCATCGCTAAGCAACTCTCTCAACGCATCACTTCGTAGAGCCATGCCCCGATACTTCCGATGGGTTGGAACAGAGCACCCAGGACTGAGCAGGGAATACCACAACCACAGCTATGCTGCCACAAAGCGTTGTGCACAAGGGTATGCCTGACCAGTACTGGAAGGCCAAAGTGATTGTTCACACAAAGTGAAAGTCGATGTTGCCAAGCACCACGCCTGCCGCACAAAGTGAAAGTCGATGTCACCAAGTCCCACGCCCACCACACAAAATGGACGTCGATGTCACCAAGTGCCATGCCTGCCACGCCAAATGACACTGAATGCCGCCAAGTGGCATTCACATGCCACACAAACAGCCGCGGCCACCACGGCGACAACGGGACCCAAGCGCGTCACCAGAGCCAGCCCACACCTGCCACACAAAATGAAGGTTGATGCCGCCAAGTGCCACGCCTGCCACACAAAGTGAAGTTCGATGTCACCAAGTGCCACGCCTGCCACGCCAAATGGATGTTGCCAAGTGCCACGCCTGCGCACAAAATGGACGATGTCCACAAGTGCCACGCCTGTGTGAGAAAGTTGTGTGTGTGTGAGTAAGTTGTGTGTGTGAGAGAGCTGTGTGTGTGAGTAAGTGGTGTGAGTAATTTGTGTGTGAGTAAGTTGTGTGTGTGAGAGAGAGTTGTGTGTGAGTTTGGTGGAGGGAGACGGCGGGAAGCGGGAAGCGGGAGGGGGAGCGGACGGGAGTGCACAACCAAAAACAAGAGCCCCACACAAAGATGTGGGGGAAAAATGTTTAAACTGACTGAAGCATTCACCGCAATAAATCATCTCACGGCCTCCGCAAGACATGATCATCCGCAGACCCTCCACAAAGCCACTTTTGGCCCCCAACATCGATGCCGTGGCCCTTTCTGAGTCCTTCGCTTGGCATGGTCACCAGAATCAGGTTTGAGTAGCCCCAACCAATTCCACGGTGCTGTCTCGAATTCTCAAGGTCAGGGTGAACACGAAGGAACAGTGTAGAGATGTTAGAGGATAAGCCAGGATAAGCAGTTGAAGGGGCTAGCCGGGCTAGCAATGAATATGTGGATCGGCAGGACACAAACTTTTGTGCACACCCCAGCACAAAGCCCTCTCTTGGGCCACCATCTGTGGCAAGACAAAAGTAAAAGTGAATCGACAGTCAACCGGTGATCCATGTTTTGGAATTCACATCGGTCCAACTTTCTTTTGACTGTCGATCAGGGACTCATGGCCTGTTTCGGCTAGGGTCCATTGTCCAAGTTCCATGATCTTTCGTAAAAACCAAGGTGACATCTTCTTAGTTAAAGAGTCGGCAATCATATTGACTCCCTGGACCCACCGCACCTGCCCTTGTTGCCGAGCTAGATCGCTCTTCAGGATCGTGAGGTCGATCGCCGTCCTCTTGTCGTCCACATGCGCCGAGGAATTCCGGCACTTCGTCACCGTGTCATACAAGGATCTGGAGTCCGTTACCGCCACAAAAGGTAGGCTGGCAAGCTGGGTTTCCCATTTTTCCAGCTCCAACTTTACGCCGAAGAGCTCTGCCAGCAAAAAGCGATGCCAGTGTAGTTGGCCTAGTCCTTGTACCATTGACTGACACTCAGCTGACAGTGTATTCACTGTACATCTCTTCAGTTTGTAGCTCTTCCATCCTATGATGGAGATCATCTCTGGTTGATCAGAGGTCTCCATGCGTTCATCATAGTAGAAGAGGAGAAAACCTCCTTGACTGCTCTTTTTCGAAGCTTGTAGGAACTTCTCACTCATCGGTTTCTTGGTCTCCTTGGAGTCATTGGTCTTGTAGAAAATCGTCTTCCCTGTCCATGTCGTTGGAAAGCTCGAGTATCCTTCATGGATATCCCATTGATCCACATGGTTCTCTCCGTTCTTCACTGTAGTTCTTGTTCTGGAGATAGTATGAAGATCTGGTCCGTCTATAGTACCTCCAGGATGGAACCGTAGACGTCGTTCTTGGACATGGTGCCGAATCCAAAGTTTGGAGGTCTCTTGCCAATAGTCTTCTTGGCTCTCTTCACTTGTGTTTGGTCCAGCATTTCCCCATGACGCATCTGTTACCACTCCCATTCGGAGCCTCTCCAAGGGTATTGGTTGTATTCGTAGCCCTAAGTGGGAGGTCTGCTTGAGGTCCTCCAGGATAGAGTTGCCTTCGATGATGTCCTTCACCATCGGATGTGGCATTGTCTGTTGTAAAAGGGCTACTCTTCCAGCCACATCTGGTCGAGTCTCTTTGGAGATCCATGCCAGACCCCCGATGAGAGTCCTCAGATCCGAGATCTCCTTTGGAGTGCATCTGGAGAATTTCTCCCGTTTTCTGTTCTTGTCAAGCTGTATGGCCTCGATCTGGTTCTCGATGTAGTGTTTCTGTTGAATTGTCATCGACCCGTCCTTTTCGGGAAGGATGTTCTTCCCCGTGAACTTTCCTTGGCCGGTGGTGAACTTGCCCATCTGGTAGCTCTGGCGCAGCCATTGCATATTTTTCCAGTGTCGATCTCCTCCTCCATGAATCATGTCGTCGGTAGCCAGACCGATGATTCCTTCAATGGATTGGTCCGTTGTGCTTCGGAGAAAGAATAGGCAAGGGTCGGCTCGGCTTTTCTCATAGCCTAGCTCTTGGAGAATTCGGGAGATATGGCAGTACCAGGCATATGGGCCATCAGTGAGGCCGTAGCAGGTCTTCTTCAGTCGGAGTAGTTGTCTCCGATGGATGCCTGGAATGCCCTCATTCGGTATCTCCGCATAGAGTTCTCGTTGGATCTTGTCTCCGGCATGGAAGGCTTGGGTGAAGTCAAGATGTCCTAGTATCCATCCCAGGCTGGTGATGATCTGTAGGACAAAGAAGGCTGTCTCCTTGGCCACCTGTGGAGTGGTTGAGTCAAGGTCTTCTGCTCCATTCTCAGAGAATCCCTTCATCACGTGTCGTGCCTTTGCTTTCATTGGTTCTTGTTCTTTTCCATCAAGTAGTATTCCTTGATCACGTAGGTCAGGTACTTCATGATGTTCGACCGGTTTTTCGGTCAGAACATATCTTGATTTCATGATCTTCTCCGGTTTTTCCCTCCTGATTTTCTCTGATTCTTCCCTGCTCAGGAATTCGTAGGCGCCCGACTTCAGGTTGGTCTTGATCTCCTTGAGGATGGCCGCTTGGAATTTCTCCTTCTCTTGTTTGGTCATCTTGTTGATCTGGATCTCCTTCTTCTTCTTAGGGTTGAGGTTCATCAACTCCGTGAGCATCGTCTCAAGATGTTCTGTCCTCATCCTTTTCGATGGCCTCTCTTCCTCCTCATCTCCTCCTGCTGGATGTTCTTGTCGGACCACTCCTCGCTCTCCTTCTTCTTCTTCAGGTCGTAGTTCTCCAAGTGGTGGATGTCCAGGTCCTCCATGATCTCCAGGTTGTAGGTCTTCTGTAGCCGCAATTGATGGTTCGTAGCCCGGCGAAAGCATCTCTGGTTCTTCTAATTGATCATCCAGTTCCAACTTCCTCTTTCCGTTTTCGTTCTCCTGGATGCTGGGCATGTCCATGTCGTCATTGGGATCCTTGAAGTCCACCTCCCCATGTGGTGTTTTTCCTGTAAGTCTGAACCGTGGTACTGGTGGTTCAGGTCCTTCAACTGGATCTGCTTTCTGCACCAGGTCCTCTAAGGGAGGTTTGTCCTCCAAGATGACATACCCGCGGATCTTCTTCTCGTCCAGGGCGTTCTTGGTGTCGACAAGGTCGGAGATGAAGTCGTTGAGGATGAACTTCTCGTCCTCGCTTACTCCTCGAAGGTGTTCAGGGCAGGCTTTGACCAAGTACCCATGATAGGTAACCCATACAGTCGTGGGTAGGTCAGTGAGGACCACTTTTGCCGGACCGTGCCAGTAAGCCGGACTGTCCTTTTTCTGTCTACTCATCCCTTTTCGCCAGAAGTAGACTGTCTGGCCCGCCGTGAAGTCGTAGAACTTCTTGGGCCCCGCATGGATGGCATGTCGAAGTGCCTGGTTGCAGTCAGCTTCATGGTAGGCGATTGCCGCCTGCTTTCTCATCTCCAGGGATCGTTGTACTTGTGCGTCTCCAGCGGCATATCTGGATCCGGTGCTATGGTCACTTGCTCCTCCGCTCAGGATACTACCCGGAAGTCTGGGATTGTATCCGATCATTCTTTGCATGGGGCTGTACCCTGATTTGTTTGTCAGTCGGTTGATGGTCAAACTGACTGTGTCGACTGCCTCATGCCATTCGTCCCAACTGTTGCAACCAGTCTGCATCAGTGTCTTCGACAGGATCTCCTTGAAGGTCCGTCCTGCTCGTTCGGTGATTCCACGTTGTGTTGGGGCCTCTAAAGATCCAGGTTCAAGGGCGAAGTCGTTCTGAGCGGCCATATCTTGGAAGGCTCCCAGGAACTCTTTTCCCAAGTCGCAGTAGACTTTCTCAGGTGGTCCAAAGATCCTGAGCCACTGGTAGAAGGCCTGGCAAGCTCCTGTTGGTGTGTGGCTCTTCAGTGGTATCATCAGTTGAAACCGGCTGCTCCAACAGATGATGTTCAGGGCCATCTTCAGCTTTCCTCCAGGTTGAACTCCAGGTAGCCAGACTGTATCGACTCCGACAATCTGGTTAGGCTGTAGTCGCCGTGGTGGTGCGGCTTGTCGTGCTCCATCTACTCGCTTGTGCTGGACGCATATTGGACAGACCAGTTTCTTGGCTATTCGAATCGCGTCCTCCTTTGCTCCAGCATGTTTCAAGATGCTTGCCAATCTCTCGTTTCCAACATGTCCAAGTCCTCGGTGAGCTCGGTGGACCAGTTGTTCTAATCCAGGAGCTCGTTCAAGAGGGAGATCTTTCCCAGGTACCTCAGGGTTCTCTGGTAGTTCTTCTTGTTCTGGTAGTAGTTCCTCTGGTAGTGGATCAACTGCATCATCCTGGGTTTCTGCAGCGACTAAAGTCTCGTGTGCTATGGGCTCATGGCTCATCAAATTCCATAAGCTATCAACCCTGTGGCTTTCCTCGAGCAAGTCAAGGCTAGAGGTCAATTCGATCTCGTTCTCAGAAAGTTGAAGACTTTTGGAGTAACATGAGAGAATGGTGTCAAGAATCTTCCTAGGATACCTTGCAGCGTGTGACAACCTTTGAATACCTTGAAAACTGCCAAGAATGTGTTGGTGTTGGTGCGTTCCATCACAAGTCCTGTCCAGTCCTTCAGCAACTTTCCTGTTGTTAGTCATCCATCCCGTAGGTTTCTTATGCGGGAGTCCTTCAGGGGAAACAAGTCCAAACATGCACTGGTCACATTTTGCAACAAAAACATCACTGCGTTCCATCAGCTTCAGCAAATAGTGTTCCTTCCATGCTTTTGACGACCATGGATGTTCGAAACAAAAGGTACCCCCGTATTCCCGAACCATTTCACAAATCTCAATGGCAAAACTCAACAGAAGTTTAGCTTCAACCATTCTTTGATCAAACTCCTTTTGTTTTTGGGGGTCAGCATCCCGATATGGTTGACTCATGTTTTGCATCATGGAAAGAAGAGTGCATGGGGGAGAAATGCAAACAAGACCCCGTTTCTGATTTCGAATATACTGTCGGATAACCCGCCTAGTACCTTCATGCCTGATGTCATGACCAAGTTCCAAGTCAAAAGCCTTTCCCTGTTGTAAACCCCATTTGGTGGTGCGAGGTTGGAATCGATTGGGGTTATAAACTTCTGCAACCAGTTTCGCTTGACGCTTTTGGACTCCAAGCAGGCTCGCAAGTCGCCTGATTTTCTTGGGTCCCCATTTGGCCCTCTGGTCAGGCTCTATGGTACAAAGGAAGGTTTCCAGGCATTCTCCTGACGCCAAGCTGGGCTTTTGAAAACAAGTCATAATGTCTTGCCACTGTTCATGTGCCGATGAAAGTGCTGCTTTCGCTTGTCGAAGCAGTCTCCGGCCTCTCCTGTTTCCAATTTCATGCAAGCCCAAATTTTCCAGTTCTACTGGGTCTCCGAATTGTCCGCCATCTGATCGGTCCATACACCTCCGATCTCCAGAGCTCCCGAGGCTATGATCCTCCGGGCCATTGCTGGTGTCAGCTGTGTGGACTCCATTGCTTGACGTTCTTGGTGATACACGGACTTGGTCAGGTTCTTCTTCTGTTTCTCCTTCTCCTTCTGGATGCCCTTCTCGGTCTTCCGGTCGATCAGAGTGATGCCGCAGTCCGTGCACTTTTCCAGGATCTTGAGGTCGTTGGTCCCCTGTCGGGACACATTCAAATGTTGGCATTGTGGTACTGCCTGGCTGCTTGATGATCCTGGGTAGCCCTTCTTCTTTTGGTTCTGGTACTTCAGGTAGTCCTGCAGGGGCTGCTCTGCCGTCCACTTGAAGTATTGGCACTGTCGTTGCCGAGGGTATGGGCACCTCCAAAACAGCCTCCGATTGTTCTTCTCCGTGAAGGACACAAACAGTCGGCATGTTGCTTGGTGGTCGCATTTGGGCGGTGTGCCCATCATCTGCAGCAGCTCTGGTGTGATCAGATCCTGGCCTGATGCTTCGTTGTCCACCAGTTCCCAAATCGTTGAGGTCTCGCTGGTAGTAGACATTCTCGAGGGGGATGCCGTAGGACTCGATGCTCGAAGTCGTGGTTGATCTTCGTGTAGACGATGACGACCAAGTAGACCCATGTAGATGTTGATCACGCCGAAGTGGTGGATCACAAAGAGCAGCTTTTTCATGATGCACCTCCACATCCACGCCGTCACTGATGTTGGTTCCTCCCGTGGTCGTTTGTGGTAGGATTCCATCGCCTCGAGCCGCGTCGTTCAACGAGGGAGATGCCGTTGAAGATGCTGTTGAGCCAGTCAAATCGGTCCGAAGAACCTCAAACTCCTTACCCTGGGTTTCATGCTGACATTCTTGTTGAAGAATCTCAAGTTGTTTCTCAGAAAACTTACATAATGGAATCCTGAGTGCACCTGTTGGGCCAATGTGGCACGGAACCGTAACTCCAAGTTTCTTGAAATGGGCTTTCAGTCCAAGTTCAGGGTCAAGGATCAAAGTGGTCCGGCATGCCATCAAGAACGGAAGACTAATAAGAAAAGGAGCTTGTTGACTTTCCGGATTCTCAAAAATGGCTGGTTTTAAAAACGAGCCCTTCTTGCCGATACTGGTAGGTATCGAAGCCACAAACTTTGTGCACGACCTGCCATGAACACTTTTGAAACGATGCTCTTGTTCATGAACCTTGACTGGGATGGACTTAGGAATGTGCTCGATCAGGGCCTCTAAGGTCTGTTTCCCCACTGCCATCCTTTGACAACCAGTATCCAAAGTGGCACATGTTGCTTCGGGAAAGGAAACGGTTGGGATCCTGGGGGAGTCAATACCCTTACCATTACAACCCCGATCACAACCCTGAAACATCACCTCATGATCATGGTGCTCGGACATGTATGCTCGGAAATCGGAGCTGTCAGATTTCGATCCTACCGTCCCACCCTGTTCATGGGTCGCTTCAAAATTGGAGCCAGTCACAGGCTCACGAGATGCTCCGGCGCTCAGGTCTCCTTGTCCCAAATGTTGCAGGTGTCCGCAGAAGATTGCTTCTTCAGTTTCAAGGATGTGGGTTTCCTTCTGGTTGTTGCCCTTCGTTTTGTCACGATCAGGGCATTCTCGGTGCCAATGGCCCGTCTTGTGGCAGATTCCACACTTCGTCACCTTCTTCAGCTCCTCGATCGTCATTTTGAACTGGCCCTCCTTAAAAGGAGGTACTCCTGAGCTGGTCAGTGACATCGATCTCCCAGTCTTCCATTTGTTGTTGTACCCTCTGCCTAGTTCTTTCGCCTTTTTGGCCTTCAACGTTTGGGTGTAGGTCTTCCTCTTCTGCTGAAGGTACGTGTTGAGAATCTCAGCCGCCTCGTGCTCCTCCAGGGTGTCCTCCTCCCCGATCTCCGTGGCCTGCTCGACGTCCTCGTCTTGTAGATCTCGAAGAGCCTCCTCCACGGCGTGGATCTCCTCGTCGTCCTGGTCATAGGGGTCCGTCATCACATAGTGCGCCGCAGTGGCATTCTTGTTCAAGGTTTTCTTGTCCGTTCCCACCTGAGATACCTGCAGCTTTGTCTCATGCTTACGAACCCATTCTCTGATGTCCGGAGGACGAATGGATCCTCTGGAAAAGTTGAGGTAGCTCTTGATGTCCGCATCGTTCAGGTTCAGGGCATTGATCAGGAGGAAGCCAACGTACTTGTCCGGCAAGACCACCTTGTGCTCCGTCACTTTCCTCATGGCTTGGTCCCACTTGCTGAAAAAGGACCGATGCCCTTCATCTCTTCCTCTTCTGAGGTGGTATGTGATCTTTGCCAGCGATGACAAGAGGTCCTCGTCCTGGTCGTCCCCGAAGTTCTCCGGCTTGTTCATGAGGTCGAGTAACTCCTCACCATTTCTATCGCTCTGCATCCAGTTGGTGTCCCTCGCCAAGTGCTTCATGGCCTCGAAGGGTGTCTTTGACAACTTTTGTAGTAAGAGAGGGCCTCTGGTGCGGGGCTTTGCCTTCGTCGTTGCAAGCCAAAGATTGGCCTTGATCTGGTAGTCCAAAAATGGGATCTGCTCTCCATCCCATTCTGGCGGTGGCCCACTGCTGGACCTTTGGTCGTCACGACCATCATCTTCGCTATCGTCCTGCCTTCTTCTATTTCGACGATTTTGACTCCTGTTTCTCATCCAAGCTCTGAACTCATCTGAGTCAAAGCCATCCTCTCCGCCGCTGCCCTCATCTGGTGCAGCGACCTCCACATGGTTCTGAGACGCCTGAGAGCGTCTTCCGCTCCCCTCCGACGATGGAGGCAGCGGCACATCTTCGGTCGCCATGACCTAACTCGCCCAACAAAGGGCACTACCTTGCCCGGACGTCTCCGAGCTCCGCTACCACTGTGGATCGGCAGGACACAAACTTTTGTGCACACCCCAGCACAAAGCCCTCTCTTGGGCCACCATCTGTGGCAAGACAAAAGTAAAAGTGAATCGACAGTCAACCGGTGATCCATGTTTTGGAATTCACAGAATAATAATGAATAGCAATCATCACGGAATCTCACGGACAATGACGATAATCCGAGCTCCTTGGATGGTCCATTTACATCCAGAACTTCTCCTCCGAGGCTGAATTCCAGCAGCTTTCTCACACGAGGAATCCTGAATCGACAAGGGCCGCTGGGTTGCTCGGAGTTGCTCGGAGTTGCTCGGACTGATTTGGGCTGCTTCATTGCTGCTTCAGTATCAGTGTATAGACAGTGCAACAGCGTGTAATAATGACAGTATAGTGGTGTGTGAGAGTGTGTGTGTGTGTGGCAAGTAGCGCTATATTAAGCGCCAGGAACTGTTCGATTCGTTAGATCTCATGGTGCAAAGCATTGCAAACCCTCACGCCCTAAAGTCATCCAGGGCCCCTTAAGGCTGTCAAGGTTCTTATGTTTCAGCATGGCAGTGTGCAAATCATCGCCGCTAACCTGTCCAGCGGGCAGGTCAAATCAAAGCACAAATTGAGCTGGACCTGACCTACCCCACTCAGAAGGGCACAGGCGGCCCTAAACAGGCTCAAATCTCACATTAAAAGCACGTCACGCAGCGGCCTTCAGAACTGTGAGCTTCAGGGTCTCGCTGATAAACACAGAGACTCCCAGTGCAATAGCCAAAGCATGTCCACGGATGAACTGCAGGAGCTGCCTGTTCAGAATGTATTGGAATGTCATGGGTCAGTTACGGCTGATAAGGAAAATCAAATGTTCTAAAGTTTCAAATATGTATGTATACATAGACATATAGATAATTATAGATATAGATATCATTCATACTGTTTGATCACGTTTGCACATGCATGTACTGTACTGGAATAGCTGACAAATGCCAACAAACCAAAAACTCCGATCATGGGTCCAAATTACCATAAATCATATGTATATATCTGTCTGTATCTTCAAAATCCATGCGCAACTATAGCGACTGCCAAGGTCCAGCCTTTCAGGATTGGAGCCGATGGTTAGCTCGAGCGTCACCGCAATAATCGCAACCAGCAGAAAATGAAGCCAGTGCCACCTGGATTTTACACCGTTTAAGATAATGCGACATGATTCATGTCATATCATATGTATCTGCACGCTAATACATGCACAGTTGTTCTACAACTTATGTGTATCCTGTACATATTCTGAGAGAGAGGGGATCATTTACAGTATACAGTAGATATGTATAGATATTTGTGTATAGTCATTTGGATTATCTCATATATATAATATATATATAGTTGAAATATGACAGGTGACAAGTGCTGGCAAAGGTTTGGCCCTCTTTATATTGCTGCATTGCAGATCATGGCGGGAGTGTCGCTTGCATAGGGACTTTACAAGCTCTTTCTGCTTCTGGCTGCTCCAGAGGGAGACGGCGAGACACTGGACAAATATGGACACATGATATGAAGGACAGAAAGGACTATGTGCCCTCCACATCCGTCCATTTAGCTGCGGCCCATGCTGGCTAAGTTCTGTTTCTGATCTTGCCATCAAAACAGTTCGGAGCAACAGGAAACAGGAGTCGAGCTCGACCGAACCTGGATCTAAAAACTCTACAAGGTCGAAATTCTGTGCAAACGTAGTTTGGTTTCCTGGGATTCGACAATGGATTACAGTGGCAACATGCTCAGCAACTAGTTGCGCTGGCGACTGGAGTTGTTTGAAGTACCAAGAATGTTTCCACACAGGGTTTGGGGAGGGAACATGCCATCAATCTTTGTCCCGTGGGGGTGAACTCTGCCTTAGGTAGAAGAAAAGATCTGCATGCAGTGCACCAGGCACTGTTCAATGGATGACGTGAATCCGTGGTTGTTGTACAATTACCAGTATATACTTTATACATTTTTAGATACATGTTTCTACTTGTCTTGCCAGGACCCGAAACAGCTCGGGCCCTCACCGTTCAGCTGCTTTGCTAATGCAATTGGCAGGGTAGCAAAAACCCGGTCGATCCACAAATTTTGCTGCCTTGGCTGTGCACTTTAGAGTTCTGATTCCAAACTGCAGAAAAAGTTGCTTTGCGGGACGATTCCGTGAACAATCATTAACATGTCAACCCATGCCCAAATCGTTCTTGGTGAACTTCACCTTGAGGTTGCCATTACCTACATAAAATCAAAGCCACGAGTAATTAGAAGACAGAAATCCGGTCATAAAAGTTTGGTGTCCTTTTTCCATCTGGACAGACTTTGCGCATGGGCATGTAGAGACCAGCAGTGCAGCAAAGCTAAAGAGCTGCAAGCGTGATTCTTGATGTTTGACTGTTTTTGGCCCATGCACATATCCATTGACTCCATCAAAATTTTGATCCAATTTGGCCAACGTGGTAAACAGAGATGGGCAAAAAGAGCACGGCAATGCCAGGTTTTTTACATTGTGCTCTTTTCATAGCTATTCACTGAGCTACGTCGGCCACCAACATTGCGCTGGCAACTAGCAGGTGGACACAAATTGCTTCGTCGCTTGGCGAATATTTCCTTGGATGTTTCCCGAATACCGGGAGCATGCATAGGTGCAAATAGCATGTTGGGAAGCATGTCAAAAATAAAGAAGTCATACAGGCTGATAAAGGATACAACCATCGAAACCTTCAAACACTGAAAGGATTTGGAAACAGCTGTTGATGCTACCACCACCCTGTGAGTTTCAAAAGCACAACAGCCAGAGCTGGAAGGTGAACTGATCGAGTGGCTTGAGACTCTGGCCACGGTGAATGATTGTGAATGGTGATGTTATATGATGTTATAAGAAGGTTCACTGGCCTTTTACTGATTTTTCACAAAGTGGCCGTCTGTGTTTTTGGAGTTTGCAAACTCCGCGGCGCCTAAACATTGTCACTGGATGCACATGCCGCGGGTGAATGGTGACAATGTGGCGAGACGGTGTGCATCCTGCCTTTATGGCTACCTTCAGAATGCTTTTTATGACTCCGACATGCCCATCCTTTTGATGATGTTTTTTTGGCATCTTTTTCACCTTTGTGATTGGATCTCTCCTCTTTGCACTTTGCCCCTGATGGTGCTTTTGAATCGTGGTTCTTCAAGAACATATTGCAATACTTCTTCTCGATATTTGCTAATTTGCAGACGGGTTGGACGCAGGCGTTTTTCACAGAGCCGTTTTCGGCGAGAAGGACGTTTCCGGAAATCACGATTGACTGCTTCGTCCACTTGCCTCTGTCGATGTTTCATTTGAATTGCTGTGAGCACTCTTTGATGGATCTTCACGTTTGGAGCTCCTTGATGTTTGTGATTGCATTTATTTTGTGTTGCTGGCACCTTTCCCGACAAATGCGCGACCGCATGATGCACGTTTTAAATGGCAATGACATGCCTAAAGGCAATCCGAAAGGCAAAGGAAAAGGAAAAATGACATGTATGGTGCTGCCCGCTTTAATTCTCATGAATATTTGCACACTATTCGTGAGGCGTTGCCTGAAGCAGCGAGATTACGATCTCAAACCACTTAGTGCGCTCCGAGTGGTCAGTGGATGTCTACTATCATCAACAACTCACCTCGCGTGGGGGCGTGGCTGGGGGAGTGGCTGATTTGTGGAGTTCAAAAAGGTTAAACTCTAGATTTCAGCTTTTCTGGCGCCATGTCCTTGCCTATCCTGTCATCGAGTCTGAAATCTGAATGTTGGTTTTTATCTTTGTGTGTCAAGCTTCGTTCGGTTTGCAATTTGGATTTTATCTCTTCCTGAATTCCCAGCGCCAAGGAAACTCAACTCTGGATGCCATTTTTTTCTCTTGGTTGCTCGTGTTATCCTCGCGGCTCCTGTTTCACAGGGACCTCAAACTGCTTCTCAGCTGTGGCTTCAAAATGGACCTGGCCGAGATGCACGATGTGGACCGGTGCACCCCACAGATCGCTGGAAATCACCGTCGGAGGATCAAATCGCCTTTCCGGCTCAAGATCGCTGTCCGAATGGACGACAATTGGGCGGAGCAGGAGATGAGAGGCTGCATGAATCGTGAGCTCGTCGCCGTATGTGTCCGGACGGCTCATGGAATCCAAGTACTGAGTGTAGCCACCGAAACAGCTTGCTATTTTGTCCTCAAACAAGGCCTGCTGCTGCCTGAGGTAGCTCACAATTTGCGCACGGAAGTCTTGGACATCGACCGGCAGTCCGGCACTGAAAAGGATACTGAGGAACTGGCAAGATCCATCCCCTGCAGTTTCCACACGCTCCATGCCGAGTGCTGACAAGCGGGGAACAATTTTGGCCAAGCTCTTGCGCCTCTTCTCTTTGGCTTCCTCATTGTCCTGAAGCGACAGGGCTAACGCCATGTCCATCTGTTGTGCTTCCTCGTTGTCCTGAGTAGCTCATCGTCACCCTGCAAACGAATCCTATATTGTTTGGTGCAAACCGCACATGCAGCGCACTTGGCCAGTAAAGAAGCTGTCTTGTTACGGGAACTGGTGCTAAGAGGGTGGTGAACCACCTGCTTCTCTTTAAGCCATCTCTTGGAAGCATCCCGAAGAGATTCATCAGAAATCTTCTCAGTGGCAATCTGTTTCCAATCTTTTCTGGTGTGACCGCCTTTGTTCTTCCTAAAACGAGGCAGGGATTCCGGATCAGCAGGCACCACTTGCTCTGCAGGAGCTGCCGCAGGACGTTTACATGGTCTGGGCGCTCCAAAGGAGCGTTCTCAACGACTTCCGCCACACGGGACTGTGCTCTTCGGTAATTCATCCCTTGAGGATATTACGCTTGAGCCTCATGCTAGGAAGCAAGCGAACTCTGATCCAGGGGACTGAAATCCAGATGGCAATCTGCATAAAACAAAGAGAACCAAGCTAAAATCCAGATTTCAGGCTGCAAATGGGCTACAATCCAGGAAGTTCAATCATCAAAGATCCAAATTCCAATCTGCAAAGAAGCAGCTGTGACAAGCAAAAACCCAGATTCCAATCTGAAATGAGGCAGGCGCAGAGGAGATGAAATCCGGATTTCAGTGGACAGAGCAAAGGAAGCAAAAATCAAGATTCCAAGCTTTCAAGCAGAAGAATCGATACACGCCAAGCTAGACTCTGAAGTCCAGCCTCCACATATAAAACTCCCAATAAAAAGAATGAAATCTGAATTGCAGACACACATGTGGTTGACAAAGCAGATGCTAGCAAAAGGATGAAATCCGGAGTTTAGCGTTTAAAACTCTTCATTCCAGTCATGTTCCTGTCGGCACATGTGAAGCGTTACGGGAAGTTCTGAACCGAGTTGGGTACACTGGCCAACCGACAGCGGTACTTGTGGTACAGCCTCCTGATGAATTAGGACTCCACTCTTATCCCAGATAGTTTGTCACTTGCAGTCTTGTGGTTCCTGGACTTAATGGGGAATCCAATGTTGTTTCTGCAAAGCGCTGGTTGGTTCAATTGGGGTTTGGGACAAGAATGGACATGAGGGCAGAAGGCGAGGAGATTCAAATGCCTGTGGAACTTTTTGTACATGAGCAAAAGAAGCAGGATTATGTTCGGAAATTGGTCATTGATTTGGAGAAAGCTGATGTGAACATGCCGGAGTCTGCTAATGGAACCCTTGCAGACAACAAGAGACATGGTGGTCGTACTGGGGAAACCCCTGATCCCAAGGAACGTCCACACCCTCGTACTGAGGGAGATATTTGATGGTGTCAGTTTCACCTACCATATTTGCAGAATTTTGTGCAATGGCACATGAGTTTTTTCTTTGCTTGGAGTGTCCTGCTCGTAAAATTATCCGTGTCTTTGGCGCGTTTTTCTTGCACATCAACAAGCTGATGCGAATATGGAATGGTAATTAATACAACTATGTCCGTTTTGGGCGTCACTTTTGTTAATGCCGATGGTGTTATGGGACGCCATCGCCCATCGCCCTCATGAGTTGGAGCAGCTTGCAAGTGATATTGTGGCAATCAGTGCAACGCATTTGGATGCGCACTTTTCCTGGCTTTGATGGTTTTTAGGGAGCACCAGTCCCCGGGAAGAAAGGAGGAGTTGGTTATTTTCTGGTTAAATCTGGTTCTTGTTGGCATGCCAAGGTTTTGGAATTCCCGTCCAATTCCCCTTGTGCGAAATTTGTCCGTGGTGGTCGTTTGGCGGTGCTTTCTGTTCATGCTGGCAAGGGCAAGCGTCAATTTTGGTTTACAATGCGTATGGGTATAGTGGTGCACGATGGAACGCTGCTTTGAAGAAACTTACTCATAACCTCATTGAGGCTGCTTTGACTGATGGGGCCTCGCGAGGTCTACCTGCAATTTTCGGTGGAGATTTGAACTTGCAGATTGAAGCACCTATGGTCTTGCAACGCATGTCCCAGCATGATTGGTGTCACATCTCTAGCATTTGTGGCATGCCAGATGAGCCCACATGTTTCAAAGTGCCTGGATCTGCCATTGATCATGTGTTCTTCAATGCTTGGGATATGAGTGCCTTTCAGTATTTCAACTTCGGTAATCAAATTTCTGACCATCTCAGTTGACATGTACAATCGGGTTGGGTGTGATTTCACAAACGGTCTTGCGCAATCGTAGTTTGCAAACTCTTCCTGCTGGTTTTATTTTTCCAGATGTGCTTTCACAGTCTGTTTGTGAACTGGATCCGCGCTTTCAGGAAAGTTTAAAAAAGGGTGATGTTGCGGACTGCTACAAGTTATGGTGTCAATATGCTGAGAAGCATCTGAAACGTCTTTGGCAACAAACTGATGCTTCTGCACATGTCACTTCTGGTCGTGGAGCCGTGCGCTTTGACTCTCATGCCTTTTGGCCTACCTCTAAACGTGACTCTGCAGCCTCATTCTTGGTTGGGCGCATTTGGAAGCTCATATGTCGGATGCAAGAGGTACAGAAAAAGCATTTTGGTTATTTAGCGGACAAGACTTGGATGTACTCCCGTGACTCTTTGCAACAGTTGCCTTCAGTCAGACATGCAGCTAGAACCTATTCTGAGGTTTTCGCCGTCCAGCAACCGCGCTGCTACTGTTATTGTTTTTGAACACTTCTCGCTGAAAATTCAGCCCGCGGCGAAGAGTCATCACATCAAGGTCTGGAAGAAAAAGATGCAAAGCTCCTGCAAGGTGCAACACTCTTGGCTACGACAGGATACATTTGCAGCCAGCCATTCTTGTTTTGCCAATAACATGCAATATTGATGAGCAATTTCGCGCAGTTCGGGCTGCATGGAGATGAGTCACAGAGATGTTTCGTCATGGGGAACGACACCTTCTTCAATCAATACGAACAATATATATATATATAGATAGATAGATAGATAGATAGATAGATAGATAGAAGATAGATAGATAGATAGATAGATAGAGAGATAGATAGATAGATAGATAGAGAGATAGAGAGATAGATAGATAGAGATAGATAGATAGAGAGAGATAGATAGATAGATAGATAGATAGATAGAGATAGATAGAGATAGATAGAGATAGATAGAGATAGATAGAGATAGATAGAGATAGATAGAGATAGATAGAGCTAGATAGAGATAGATAGAGATAGATAGAGATAGATAGAGATAGATAGAGATAGATAGAGATAGATAGAGATAGATAGAGATAGATAGATAGATAGATAGATGGATGGATGGATAGATAGATACATGGATAGATGGATAGTATCGGATAGATGGATAGATAGATAGATGGATAGATGGATAGATAGATATAGATTCATGTCCAGTTTCATTGCCCCCTCTTAGTGGAGAGGCTTTACTGGCTGAATTTTTGCGGGTCAAGGAAAGCAGCCCGGGTTTGGATGGATGGTGTTATGTTGAGTTTAAACTCCTTTCGCACTGCACCCCTTGGACCATTGACTATATATGTGACATCCTGCAGCTTGTGGAACAGCGCGGTGTCCGGCTACACCACGTTGATAAGAGCTCTGAACCTCCTGAACAACCAACTGACCTTCGACCCTTGACTGTGCTCAGCATTCTCTATAGGATATGGGCACGAATTCGTGCTCGACAACTTAATGGACAATGGCAGGAGCTCTTTGCGCATGATGGCATGTGGGGAGGGCGCGCATCGAGAGGTGCTGAGCCTTTACTAGTGGTAGTGGAGGTTGCTTCAGAGCTTGAGGCTTGCAATTCCTGGTGCTTAAAAAGCTGGTCTTAGCTTCGATCTTTCAAAAGCTTTTGACAGAGTGCCACGTGAACTTCTTGCACGTATTCTCGACAAGATGGGTATGCCCTCTGCAGTTTACAGACCTTACATGTATATGCTTCGACACTGTACGCGAAGATACAAACTTGGTCCGGCTCTTGACAAACCACAAGCACTCTGGGGGGTATTCTTCAGGGATGCCCTTTGGCTATGCTGAACATGAATGCGATTTGCAATATTTGGCTGCGAGCGTTGGATCATCGTCCCAAATTGCCATCCTAGATCATATGTCGATGATGTGAAATGATGTGAGTGTCACTTTGACATAGGACACCCAACAGAAATTCTAAGAATGTGTTTCAGATTTCGAATGTATTTGTGCAGTCTACCGGGGGTCAGATTAATGCTTCGAAATGCTTTACATTTGGGGATCCATGACCAGGCATTTCGCACTCTAAACAGTTTCGTTTGGTTGGTGGATCCTTGATTTGTCCAGCGAAATGTCAACACGATCACTGCTACTAAACTTGAAACACAGAGGGTGGCAAATTGGATGCAGACTGCTAAACGTGCGAGGCATCTACCTGTTTCTTGGCATCAAAGATGTTCATGCTGAAGTCGTACAAGATTCCAATACACTTGGGGCACTGGTACACACAAGCTTCCTGAAACGAAAGAGCATGAAAATGATTTGGTTAAACTTCGCAGTGCAATCATGCGTTGCTTGCTTCGACGAGATCACTACCACTACCAGTCCAATCCGACATTGAATTTTTCATTGCTTGCCTCGCCGAGTTTGAATCCTTTTTTCTGCCGAGTCATGGATGGTTTGACGCTTATTTGGAGGGTCATGGGGAGTACTCGCAGGGTTGACACCTTTCGTATTCTTTTTAATTCGCCGGCTTTGTCAAATGTGGATGGACCCATAGCACGACTGAGACAAGTTGATCAACTTCCTGAATTTCGTGGAATTGTTCGAAACATGTTTCAACGGCGAAGCACTTCTGTTTCAACGGGCTGAGCACGAATTGGGTTCCTGGCTTCATTATGTCCGTGATATTTGGAGAGCAGGACAGTGGAAGAAGGTTTCAAGAGATCGCCCAAGCTTTAGAGGTATTGAGAAAGGCATCTGTCGTGTTGAAACATTGCAATATCTTCGTCAACTTGAACATGCTGGTCGCGACCGGGATGGTATCACTACCCCTGCTATAGAACAGGCTCGTGTATGCGTGCTGCTGTAATGAGACTGCTTCTCACTGGAGGGCTTATGACTCAAGATGTTGTTACTCGGCATCGCAATCAACAAACTACGAATTGCAATAGTTCCATGGGTGGTCCGTGGTCCACAGTCTATCGAACATGTTTCTTGGTATTGTCCTCACTATCAACACAAACGTGCTGTTCTTCAACCGTTGATGTCTCGAACCCGCGGAAGCAAACCTTGTTTTCAACACGCGACCATTTTGACTGAAGCTGATGCGGAGCTTTCTGACAACATTGTTGTTATTCAGACCACGCTTGTAGATATCTGGCATGACTTTATTCGTGCTTATCTCATGGTGAGATTCCCGGAACAGATGATTCAACGCCACACAATGGAGATGCTGGTATCTCAAATCGGGATGTCAGTGATGGTATTCATAAAAATGGGCATTTATTGCTAGTGCCCCTGAAAGTGGCATCTTTTGTCGGAAGTGTGGGAAATTTGTGCGGGAAATTCGTCATAGAAGATGAAAGATCAGCAAAAAGCCGTGCTCTCAGGCTGATCTTCCTGAAACGCACTGGCTAACTACGCCTTGCTATACCTCCAACCCTCGAAGACTGCTGGGTCTTTTTTCTGGATATGCAACAGTGTGCGGGCCAACACAGTCTGGAATGGAGGCAACGTGAAAACCCTGGTCAGATTCAATGCCGACGTTGTGGCAAGACTTGGCCATGGGATAATGGTCATAATATGCAGTGTGCTCCTTGTCCTCCTCATACTCCTATTGAGATTCCGGATGGTTGGTTGTCAATGCACTATGCCTCAAGCAACCAAGATGCTGCAGTTCAATTTTTGACTGATTTAACGATCAACTCCAACTCCACTCGCAGTGGTGCCGCATCGATGATGGTGTCAACTGAAAGTGCTGGCAGTCAAACTGTTTCTCCTGGCTCTTCGAATATTCCATCTTCGTCTGCTCGCCCTCCAGTTAGAATTCGTCTTAGACGTAAGACCACAGTTCCATCAGCAAGCAATCCTTCTTCTTCGTCTTCTACCCGCACAGCTTTGACAGTTTTTCCTGCCTCATCATCTCGCCCTGTCGTTCCAAACGTTGCCGATGATTTTGATGAGACAAGTTTTGATCTCGAGTCTGTGTCTTTAGCTCATTTTGATGGTATGGGTTGACGCGACTGTCTTTTTTGAGCGGGCTTGCTTCTGCGGTGAGCTTGCTAACTTCTCTAAGGCCGCCCAGCATCTGCAATATCATGAGCAGCACAGTCAAGTCCAGCAAGAAAATGCAGGCCGTTGTCAAAACCCCAAGCCTCAAGGATGAAATTACCATCTTTATCCATCTGCTGACATAACAGTAACCAGAAGAAAACATGAAATTGCTGAACCTGGACGCTGTGACAAAAGCCTCTCCACTATTCAGCCAAGAAGCAACCCGCAATGAAAGGCACACAAGGCTAAAAAGCTGCACAACCTTGTAACCAGCAATTGAGTCCCAAAATCAAACAACTCATCCAGTCATACCTAGTCTAGTCTCACAAGATCTCAGAAGCCTTGTAATCATCCTGGGTCCTCCTTTTTACCTGCGCAGCTTGGAAGAACTTGGAAGCATACTGCTTGACTCCCAATGACTCACAAGTCTTTAGATTTGCTTCATCTATCAAAATCTATCGCAATTCATTCAGTCTCATTCAGTCTCCAGATAGGCTGGCTGGCTCAGGTTGCGGCAGTGTAATGCAGGAGACCACTTGCCCAACCCGGAAGAAGATGTGAAAGAAAGGGTAAAGCCTCAAGTCAAAATGATGTCAAGGGAGGTCTTTGCCATATCTGGCAACCGTACCGTTTCTGGAACTCTCCCTACGAAGGTTTCATGAGTTTGAAAGCAAGGCACCATCGCGCTGACAGCTCGACAGCTCAGAACATTTCACTGCCGCAAGATGTCACAAGATGTCACAAGTCTGGATGTATCATGATGTATCTGGGGGGTTGCTGTTTGGACGGGCGACGCTTGCATCGGTCTCTTCCCCCGGAGGCCACTCCGGCTCATGTCGTAGCGGCGAGCTACAAAAGCAGAGGTCGCAATATCAAGGTCCACCACCTCAATGTGGTAAATGACAACATATGACGAAATAAGCATCCACAAAATATCCACAATATCTATCAATGCTCACAATCGCAGAGAGCTGACACAGCAAAAACCCAAAGGAATCATCTAAGAGGATATTAGAAAAACTTGGCCAACGAATGCTACAGTAAACAGCTGCAATGGCCGTCTAGATTTCAATAATATGATGAACCAAATCGAGCTAGAGTTTGTCTACCTCAACTAACTTCTCAATTGAAACGCTGAGATACGCAAATGCTGAGCACCAGCATCTGCGATATGAGGGAAAATCCCAAAATGTAGGTTTCGAGCGATGACTTGGGTTCACACCTTAGGACAAGTATGGACAAGGTACATAGGCATGGACGAAACAAATGTTTGTGTTGGCATTCACCCTATGCATGGCCGGATCGACCGTGTTTTGACAGCCGCCCCCTAACATTATGTAGACAAGAAGGGAAGTGAGGCAATCTTCAGATGGGTTGTCATGACGAGTCAAACAATTGAAATGATTCAAATGTGACTGCCGTTATTTGGTGTCAAATCAAAATACGACATGTGCATTTGTATAGTTGTACAAAATAAAACTGAATGTTTGCAAACAAATCTGAATTGCAAAGCCAGGAGTCACCGTGGATCAGGTGTCTTGGATGGGATTT